TAGGTATGTACATTTGATATGTGAAGGAGTGCATACCAAAAGTGTGTTGCAGAAAAAATATCTTTAAGCACACTGTTTCTCAAGGTGGCGATATTATGGACCCTGGTGATATTATGGACACAGATGTTAATGTTTCGATTTGGAATGAATTCAAAGATGTGCAATGTGAATTCACCATATATTAACTAGGAAAACAACACAAAGAGTTCACCCCAAAAAAGGAAAGACTCACAATAAAAGCCTAGTATTAAAATAAATGTAATGTTGCCTGACAACCTGAAAATATAAGGACAATGTTGGTATATCAGTCACATTTATATCATTTCCCACGGGGTACTCTCATACAATAGACTGTGATCCATAATGTACACCTCATTTCTCATCGCCTTTGAAGAAGATTGGTTACCATGACACTATTCATTGTTCTGTCATCCATGCATACACTCTGGACTTTACCAGTTCTTAATGGACCCAAAGTTTCAGTCATGTAAATGTCCAGGAAGACAGATGGAGACAACATTTTAGGTTATCTCCCACATTACTGTCATGTATAATTCATTTATGACAACAGAGTTAAAGACCAGCTGAGCAGAATGTGATACACAAGCAGTATTTTATTTTACTTTCCAAACCAGTGGTTTAGGCTTCGGTCAATTTTGGTCTGTTTTTATGTGTTTTATCTGGTTTTCTTTTTTGTACTGGTTAATCTCCAAGCATGATCTTTCGGGAGACACAGTATCAAATTGGCCAGACAGTATCCATTGGCCCACCTAGATCTGCAATCGAATAGATACTGTCAGACCAATGGTTACTGCCTGAACAATTTGATACTGTCTTTGCAGCTAACAGAAGATCTGCTAAATCTGCTTGGAGATTAGCAGTACTGTATTTGAGCTTTCTTGTTTGACCATCTTTCAGTGTGTCCATAGATGTATATAGATGGCCAAATTGTTTGGCAAATTTGGACTGCAACACTTTTAACCTCACAGGTCATGCCCCTTGCACTTTTTGTTCACCCTACATACCCAGCATAGCGGCGAGGTTGTGAAACGGGATGGGCCCAGGTGTGGGCAAGCCCCAGTTGTACCTGAGTAACCAACCCTACCACGTTTTTCAGTCCACTGGCTCTGTTTGTTACAGTATGGCATCAATACACTCAGCAGCTTAAGGCATGCCTGAGTGCAGTCCAATACAACGTCCTGGCTAGACTTAAGAAACCCAGGCTGCACTTAAGATGCCACTTGGCCCTGGTACTGTAAATCACTATTTTTTTTCCAATACTTTAATATTTGCAGTTTTCGCAGTCACTTCTGTACCAAATTCAGCATTACTGTCAACAAATAATTCGCTGACTTTCTTTTTTCTGCACCTGCCGCCACTGCAAACATACAGTTCCACGAACATGTCTATTTTTCTCAGATCACGAAATTTTGCTCCCGTGAACATAAAGTGGTTTACAGTGTTTGTCTGTTGAGACTATGACACACAGCTGTACGGCTCTTGGTCATTGTCCAGAGTACAAGTTGTGGTATTAGTCACCAAGGCGACGGGACTCCAAACACAGTACGATAACTGCAAGGTTATCTATGTCAGGCGAACTTTTTATCACTCTGGACTGTTTATCGTTTCTGATTTGTAAAACATTACAGCTGGTCCCAGATAAGCAGCATCAAAGCATTTTATCCTCACCCACGAATTACTGAAGTATTGCCTGGAAAAGCCTAAAGGTCGGAGAATGTTTTCCGTCCCAGTGGATCGTAGGCCACAAAGTCCATTAGGTTCTACCCCAGGTGTTTGTTGTTACTCACAACAGTTTTCTCTTAATCCCCTGAAAAAATCTGTCCATTAACACTTTCCATTTGGACTAAAGGAACCTAAATTGTTTGCATTTCTTCACTGTCGGTTACGTAGACTTTCAGAGCCTTCATGAGGGCCTGCATGGGGGTTAGTGACTACGAATAATGCAAAATCTACACTGCCGATCACAAATATTACGTTAAATTCTCAGAGCTACAAATTACGTTAAATCATGGAGGACATTATGAATTACGATTTACGTTGCATAACTGCCAACGCTAAATACGTAGAATGAAAGCGACCAAGTACGTGTTACGGCTAATGTACTCATTATGAATTGGGTGACTGCCTACAGATTACAAAAACTTTAAAAGGCCTGATTACACCTTATGAAAAACAGCATGTGGGCCCTCCTTCATGACTGTATACAGTTTAAGATGGGCTATATATTTTTCTTATCGATCAGCTGATTACTGATTTAAGGGGGGTACACTTATGTTTAGATTGAATGTGTCTGTTTGATTACTTTCCTAAATCACATCAAGTAGTACTAACAAAAAGGTCAAAGTCTGATGCAAAAACTACACTGGGAATGTAGATCTAAGTGTACCCTATTGATCTTAAAGTCAACATTCACACTGAGTGAGATATCACATTAACTCAATCTTCTTCCCTTCCTCCCAGCCTATTCAGATATATCAAAAGTGTGTCGCAAATGTCACGGTTTGCCCCAGTATCACATAAAATCTAGTATAATGGACATGGGAAACTGGCAATTATTTTGGATTCAGCAATGAAAACAGGACGTCCTTTTCCATCAGAGGTTCTTGTTTCGGTCGGTGTCTAGTTCTGGCCGTGTTTGTGTGTGTGTGCCGTGACCGTATCCAAAATAGAAAGTGTGTGTCTCTGCCAATCCAAACTTGTCGTGCATTAGGGAAGAATGTGAAGCTTTGCAACCTGCTGAGAAAAGGTGTCAACCACTGCGCTGAAATGTTTTTCTTTCAACTGTAGCCCAAGTGTAGGCGGATGATCGAGGGGGCATTTGGCCAACGTTCAGTGTGTTAACACCCACCTTATTGCTGTTCTCTGGGATCAGTTTTCCGATGTCCCTCTGAAAGATACACACACAAAAAAGACAGTCAGTAATGTGTTGATTGAATGTTTGCGTGGGAGGTGTGAATAGTGAACACACATGTGCCTTCTGCAACCACACTGCCCTGGGCAAACAGTCAGTGGGCAAATAACTGTGACTTTTACTGCTACTGGGTACGGATTACTTTTGTGACAAAAAGTCACACATCCTATGACGTGTATCGTGACTATGCGCGAAGGGCAATTGAGGGAAATATTTGAAAGTCATCAAAGTACTCTATAGTTGTGTTGTTAGTCGTCACCAGCCATCTGGCAAATAGGGAACCTATAAGTATAACCTTGGTCAATGTAAAATAAGGTCTCAAATACAAATACTTCGAAGGTAATATCGAAGGCTTCTGAGTCATTTTTCATATCATCTTTCATAACAAAATACCCCTATTAAAGTACTCTGTGCATCTTCACAAATATAAGTACCGTTATAAAAAATATTAACGTTATATAATTTTGTATTTATAACTGGAACGTTACAAAGCTGAGCCAAGCCTAGACTAAAATCGTCCACAGTACTGTGACCTTCTCGACAAAATGTATATTTTTAACTAGAATTGATTATTTCAAAATGAGAAAACAACAAAATATTATGATAATCTCTTATATAATACTGACCTCTAGGTAAGCGGCGGGGACATACCCCACCAACTTGTCCCTGGCAGCCACCGCTGTCCACCACTTGTCGTCATTTTTCTGGGTGACGATGAACCTGTCTCCCTGCCGGAAACTCAGGACATCGGGCCTGTCTGTCTCTATCTCCTTCACGTAGTCGAACTTCGCCCTGTACAGTTCACCTCCCATGACGCGAGCCGCTTGCCCATACACCGTTGATCGACCCAACAAGGGACGGCGCAGCTAAAAAGTCAACCCCGCGGCCCAGGGCCCCTCCTCTACCTCTTCTCCTTATATTCTAAATCCAAACAACCTAGCGACAGAAATCACGGCTTACTCAAGCATCTGATAACACACGGAAAGCTCTCACAGCAAGATCGGGTAGTCTGTTAGCTCCTGTCGCTAGGAAAACCGGCAGGAAATCCCAGGGCTGGCCAGTACCGCTGCACGCGAATCGATCGTTTTCATAGCCGCCGCTGTGTGTTGATTTCTGAACCCACTTCACTTCCGCAATGCATTGGGCCTCAAGTCTCGCGAGAACAGGCGGGACTATAAAACTTCGGGTTTGTCTGTGTGTCGGAATGAATACGAATACATCGGAATACACAAGAATACATCGGAATACACAAGAATACATCGGAATACACATACAGAGGGTGTTGACAGCCACTCGGAAGAGGATGCCAATCTACCGGAATACACCAGCAATCTACAGGAATACACCAATAATCTAACGGAATACACCAACAATCTACCGGAATACACGAACAATCTACCGGAATGCACCAGCAATCTACAGGAATACAGCCTGTTTTGATAAGTGACTATCTCAGGTTGGCATAAGCATGGAGGTTTTACCTCCATGGCATAAGATAGCGTATTCATGGCCCTTTGAAGAAGAAATCACCTGAAATTATGGATGATCCGGTATTGAAGTACATCCATGCCACTGTTGCGGTATAAATTTCTGGTCTTTCTTTTTCCCAGTGTGATTAACGTTACTTTTTTTTTTTTTACTTTTTTTTATGCCAAAATATAGCAGCCTGGGATACTAACTCTTCAAACTCCGGTAAATTTCACCCTCCTTCATGTGTATTTTGGTATATTCCGGTAGACAGACAGACCGAAAACTTCCGTCTGTTCGTCTCCAACATCAAATGTTCCAGGTCACTTCCGGTTCCGTGTTGTCAAAAGTTGAGTTGGCTTTTATATAATAATTTTCTTGGACTTGATAGTTGAATTTCTGGATGTCGTGAGTTGTACTCGACCATACCGCCTTCAGGAAAAGGTGGCCACGTTGTAACGTTACTAGGAGAAGGCAGAATAGTTTAAAATCGGCAGCCATGAATGGTGAGTTGAGTTGCCGAGAAAATTTGATATGGTGGGGAGGGGGGCGGTATCAGCAGAAGACGTTTTTCGGTTATTCCACCTTGCGATCAGCTCAAAGCTCAACCAAGGATCACTGTTATTTTAAATTAATGGATAGTTAATGCAATTCGTGAAGTTACTTTTTAAAATCCGACGTACTTAATGTGACATAATGATTGTGTATCTGACATGTCCACCTTATAAATAAAACTGAATTGAACCAAGCTTTTCTAAGACTAGTAAGAGTGGAGTAGAGTAGAGTAGCTCCTTGGCTCAACTAATAATCTTTTTTAGGAGTATACAGTAAGTCAATTTATATTCACTGTAGGAAAAATTCACGGTCTGAGAAAAATGGACATATTCACGGATCTATATGTTCGCATTGGCGGCTGTTGCAACAGAAAGAAAGTCTGCGCATAATTTATTGGTTGGCGATAATTATAAATTCCGCGTTACAGTAGTAACTGCAAATATAAAAATACCATGAAATTGTGATTTACAGTACCATGTAGCAACAGATAGACACCTCAGTCACACCTGCAATCGTACCTGACTGTAAAGACTACTCTACTCTATACTCTACTCTACTCTACTCTAGAATACGACATAAATCGCATCCCGTTGGTTTCCTTTCCAGTCTACTCGTTTGACGGCCTGCTAGTGTTCGCTCTGCTGGTGATCTGTACCTGTGCCTACATGAAGAGAGTACCCAAACTCAAGCAGTGGTTCCTGTCCGAGAAAAAAGGAGCTCTAGGAGTTTTCTATAAAGGTACCTAGGCTTTTGTGATAGCCATAGACTGACCATACACTCTTGTTATCTGTATCTCTGTATAGCCGGTACAACCACCCCTCGGCGTAACACACCAGCTTCGCAGGCATGTGGCGCAGCAGCAGCTGGCAATATAACGCCAAACGACTTTTTACATCTAGCCTTTGAACATATAAACCTGAACATTGTTATATTTACCGAAAGAAAACATACCTTAATTGTTTTTGCTCAGTTTCTTCCTCTTCCTCTCCAAACACTGACCTCTGACCTGGCCAATGACCTGATTTGTTGATGTCTGCCACCATGGTAATTGGTGTTGGGTTACATACATGTAATGTTGCAATTTCATAGTAGGAGGGATTTAGACTCCTGTCACCATATATGTGAATGTGTTTGAGTAAGAATGCATTAACAGAATAGACTATATGTGAAGGTTAACATGCATTTGTTTTGCAAATGTTACTTTTCTAGTTTAACATTGTCTTACCTCATGCTACAATAATTGCATTGTCCCACAAGCTCATTAATTTCATTCTATAAGTTTATGAGTTTATAATGACTAAGGCTGTTTATGATACCAAGTTATGGAGGTTTAACAGGTTTCTTGATCATTAAAAACTTTTTTTCTAAATCTCTTTTTGTTTCAAGGATTTTACTTTCAGTCAACACTACTGTCTGTAAATAAGATGTTTAAAGGGACACATACTGTAATTGGTTAAGAACTTGAGATAACATTTTGGCCGTGTTTATGTGAAGTCACCCAAACCGCGATTCGGGTAACTCACATTCCTCACATCTGGTCCCTGTGCCATACATTCCTTGCAAACCGTGTCCGATCACAATTCTACGAAACTGCATTCATTGTTGTTTGATGAAAACACGCAAGGTGGCGTGTTATTAATGTCAGTGTATCTCCCAGCGTATCTCGGCCGAATGCCGACGTGGTCCCGCCAGAGGTGGTGAAGCTCGTCCTAGAACGGACACATTATTTGACCATTACTGCTCTTTAAGTTGCTGCCACGTAAAATTTGGTATTGCGTATAAATAAAGAAATATCACCCCGTAATCCATGACCAGGCGAAGTCACATTGAAATCACATTGCGTTCAGACACAAATCGCGATGCGGGAAAACCGATTCGAAACCACCTCTAGAAGTGGTTTGGGATCGAGGCGCTTTCAATGTGATTTGGAGCGTTCACATGGAGCCACTTGAAACCGGCTTCGGGGTAAACCACATGTAAAGCGCCTTCACTGACTTCACATAAACACGGCCTTTGTCTTACTCTCAAAGTAAATGTATTGTAATTTTGTGTAGTACTGTGTACATGTTATTTTGTTTTTTGCAGCTGCAGTGATCGGCACCAGACTACATGTACCAGTAGCGGCCACCTGTGTCATCATGGCCTTCTATGTGATGTTCCTGAAATAACACATCAGTGGCACATCTTGGGAACTGGGAACATCATCCAACATTACATCCATACACCTAAGTTCTATATTCAAAATCAGGGCTCTAGCTAGCTCAAATTTTTTTCAAGCCTTTAAAAATGCAATTTTGCAAAAACGCAAGGTTCTTGTCTGTCAAAATGCTTGCACATTTTTTTTCATCACAGGTGACAAAAAAACAAGTGATGGCTAGAGCCCTACAGAACCAGACTTATGTGGAAAATGGACAATTACATGTACCGACTCGTAGCCTGTTAAATCCATACAGGATGTTCTGATAGAGATTTTTAAAAAGCTTCTTGATGAAAATGACAAACTGTAGATCTTATGTGTAATAAATGACTTTCAACTTGTTACATATCCAGTAATATTGGTGGTACTCTCTACCTTATTGGTGTTTTTTGGGGGTCAGTCTTATTCTAAAATAGCTGTGAAGATGTTACTACATTGGCATGGTAGACTGACTGGGCAAGACGGCAATACATGTATTCTATGACAAGAACAGGAACTATTTGTACCATGCTGAATTAAGTTACAGAGATAAATGTATAGTTAGTGTAAATAGAATGTATGGGAGATTAAATGGTGGAGAACTGTACATACTACAACTTTTTTTCATTCCAAGTTCCAAAACAATGAAATCATGAAAACTTATGTAGTAGTCATCACATCACCATACATGTACTTGTAAAGCTATCAGCTATCTGCTTTTGGGCTATGGATAGATACTTGTACAGACAGTGTTTGTCAGATATATACTTTTGGATGGATACGAAATAAAGTTGAGAGGTTTTTTTTTCATATTTGTGCAAGATTCCTTTGTTTTAGTTGGCCTTCTATCAAGTATGATGTACAATTACTCATAAGACAAGACAGAACACTTCCAAAAAATTATCCTTTATTCTTTAACATGTAAGAAAACAGTGAGCTATTTGCTACTTTTCCAGAAGAATGCAATATCTTGATGTACCAAGGTATAGATACACATGTACATGTACCATTATTCATTGTAATGTAAAATATTCAGTTAAGACATAGATAGCCAACCTTACAAATTTTAATCCCATCAATTTCCAATACAGATGTATACCTGAGCATGTATTCAGGAATAAATAAATGCTCTGTGTTCATTACAGGAAGACCATTCTTTGATGGGCTGGAAAGTCATTTACCTGTTTGGAAGGCTATGTTTTGAATGGCTGGAATAGAAAAACTCTAGCTGGATCCTGTCATTCTGTACTTCACTTGTCTTTAACTTTCTAACCACTGCTGTAGATCAGTGCTTGTGTATGGCCTATATTTTGTGGAAGTTAGGCCACACTGACTTAATTTTATGGATGACATCCTCTTAAGTCCCCAAACTAGTGTGCGTGTGGGCAAATAAAAAAATTTCAGCCAAAAAAAAATGCTGCTATACCACAGGAATATTAGACTGGTTACCAGACCTATTATAGCTCCTGAGTCCTACATCCTCTTGGTCTGGTAACCAGGCTACAGGAATACAAAGCTAGGACTGTGACTTTGCGGTAGTACATAGCAACTTTTACGACAAGCTGGCACATGCTGGCCTTTTGCGGCATTTATGAGTCGGTACTATACTAAGTTCTTGAGTTCCATGGAGCTTCAACAGCCTGTGTGCCGTCCTCCGTAGCTACCACCGGCTCCCTATTGTCACTAGCTACCATGGACTACAGAGGATGGCAGCCAGACCAGAGCCTCGGAGGATGTGATTTTTTTTTTTTTGAGAACAGGCAAAAATCAATGTGTGCGCGGACGTCATCCATAAAATTAAATCAGTGTGGCCTAACTGGCCTTACATCAATTTTTTTTCAAATCAACCAACAAGTGTAAATAATATGAAGACCATACAAATAGATAGTGTATATCTATAAGGTACCCTTGCAACTTGCTTATTCATTAGCAAGAATGTACAGATTGTACACTGTACTAGTATGTTTAGATACTGTATAAAATTGTGGATCAGGAATTTGGCCTTTTTTGATAGGTTTGGTATAAATAAAGATGCAGGAAGATACACTTTTCTAAAAGGTATGTTTGACTTGATTTAAAACAGTAGTCAGAAGGTATGACAAGTAAGTAACATTCTTGAATTGTCTGAGACTACTGTTCTTTGGCACTACTCTCTTAGGCCACACCAATTTAATTTCTTGGCTAACGGATTCGCTGCTTCATTTTTTTCTGATTTGCTAATAATAATAAAAATTCAGAATCAACTGTAAAATGCTCATATTTGCCATGAACAGTTGAAAACAGTCCTTTTCATCCTAGTTGTTACAGTTATTCCATCTTCCAATGCAATGGTATCATTAAAAGTTCAAAATTCATTGTTTAAATTTTGAACCAGCCTGGTGTGTTGACTTCATGGCTCCTTCGTACCATTTTGGACCATAATAGGATGCCTAGGCCTGTTTTTATTTTTATTTTTTTTTCGCCCGCCCGCTCCATGATTTTTCTAGAAAAATCTGTTAACCAAGAAATTAAATTGGTGTGGCCTTACATACAAGTTTAAAGAGAAGCAAGCAATCATAACAGTTATATTTCAAGATGAATATGCATCTTAAGTCAATGGGATACAATCAGCATATCAGCAACTTAGAATTTATTCATTTGTGTCATCAAAAAAAAAAAATCAATCTCACTAATAGTATAGTAATACAACAAAAAATCATTCATTGTAACCATGTCTCACAACATATCAAAAAATTTTAAGAAATTTCCTCTAGAATTCTGTTCTAACAATTCTTGCATACACTACTCTTTTGCATGACATCAATTTTCTTTTCTTTTTATACATCTTTTCAAAGCTGGTATTTCATACACGATAAGCATGGAAAATAAGTCACTCTCCAAAATACATAATCCATGTGACTCAGCGAGTTGCAATCCACTGACTGTGACAGTTGTGAACAGGAAATATGATGTGAAATTCCAGTATTATTTGACAAAAAAAATCATTCCATAACATTTACATCTCAGATGAGATAACACACTTTTGAAAGGGAGGTGAGCTTTTGAGCTGAAAATTTGCTATCTGTAGCAATATTCTCTAGAAAATAAATTCAAATCATACGACAATAAACCAAGAAAGTTTTGCTGTTTTTCAATGCAAACACTGATAGATATACACATTCATAAAGAATTCTGGTATACTAGTATAACAGGTGTCTGCAATTCCCATCCTAACTGCTAGAGGGTGCATCCATTCATGAGGGGTGCTTACTGATACAATGTACTAGTATATTAATACTGTGCCTTAATATTAATTGCGTAATGATAACATCTACACAGCAAATAAATGAAAAATCTACCCTCTAGTGCATTATTACTATCCATACAATATAGGCAACAATCAATATTAATGAAAAAATCTTCCATCAGATTCTACATTATCAAATTCAGTCATCAACTACTGCACACAATTTTGTTATCATTTGATCTTTATCCAGTATATATCCAGTTAGTACATTGTTACACATATAATTCTTCAGACATCTTTACAATCATTGCAGAGCAAAACAATCTACTGCACAGAAGCATCAATTTGGAGCTAGTATTTACAGCAGTTAAATGCAGACAAGGTAGAAACAATTGAATGCTGAGGACCTTTTAATGGCCACTATACCTTACTGTGGTAGAACTAATAATTATACCACAGCAAGTAATTTTTATGGATGACATCAGCGCATTAATTTTTGCCTGATTTTGGAAGAAAAAACAAGAAATTTTGTTGCCCTCTGACAGTGGTTAACATGATGGAAATGGGCAAAGATGTCTGTTGCCATGCCGGAACGTGGATTGCAGATAACTATGAAGAGAGGAGACAAGACAAGGCTCTGATTTATGTTTTGTTTCTTACTTTGATGGCATGCAGTTATGATTTCATTCCTTGTGAATATGTGATGTTCTCACTGAATCAAAAACATCATGTACAACAATTGAAAACATTTATTTTTTCAAAGTTGTTTCAGTGAGAAATGGATGTTGTAATAGTTGGCAGTAAACTTGGCAAAATATAGGTATCTTTTCTTGTTTAACAGGGTTTATGATGTCAAAATTTGAAAATGTAGGAATCTTGTTTTTTTTTTGGCCCGCCTTGCTTTTTTTTGCCCGCTCACATTAGATTTGGAGTCTGCAGAGGATGTCATCCATAAAATTTACTTGCTGTGACCTTAGTGTTGAAAACCTAAGAGAACATTCTGTGAGAAAGTTCACAAAATAGCTGCTGTCCCTCAGAATCCAGATTATAATTTTCAATAGTTATCCTTCACTTCATTAGATTTTGACTTGTTATCAGTCATAATAATTAATATGGCATCATCATTAATTGGAGCCGCCTTGTCACAGCACATGAAAAATTTGAAGAAACTAAAAGCGTGCTATGTCTGATATTTACAGAATTTTTCCGGGGATTTTTCAGTCATGATTTTTTTCTGCTGAGTCATATACACATGTCCTAATATCTAAATGAAGGGAACATCTTCGCCTTCTCTTTTTTGTATAATAAACATAGATACATGTACACAAATATAAAATGGAAATACAATGTACTATCTGTCACTCTAGTGCTTGGGCCACAACAATATAAGTAATTGGTTCTCGGATTCGCCCGCTTCCTTTTTTCTGATTTGCTAAAAAAAAAAGATTCGGACTTTGAATCAACTCGACAATGGTCATATTTTGGCCCAAACAGTGGAGGGTAGTCCTTTCTTTTTCTAGTTATTACTGTTTTTCCATTTAAACCATGTTGTGCTTTGATAAAAGTTCAAAATTTATTGTATCATCAACCAGCCTGGACTAAGCCTTGAATCGTGACTTCATGGCTCCTATCGTAGCATTTGGCGCTATCATAGAATGTATTGTTTTTATTTTTCTATTTTTTCGCCCTGTAGCTTTATATTTTTACCGAGAACCAACAAATCAAATTGGTGTGGCCTTACTTATCAATATATCAATAAACTTAAAAGAACACTACAAAAGCAAAATAAAATCAAAAGCTGTTTATTCTTACCTCAGCTATTGAGATAACTTATATATAGTAGCTTCTATCCATGAGTAGTTACTAGTATGCATGTATATGGTTTAAAAAGTGTCTACCCTGTGTTCACCCCTCATACAAGTGGTTTGTCCTCAATACCACACACACTGCACAGTCAGACTGGACTATCACACTACTGCCAAGGGAACAGAGGGATCATATTGCTCTTTACACATATAGTATAATCACCTTACTTGGTAGACATCATTTTATTCTCCAACGTCTCCGTAAGGCCATGTTGATATATATGAATATACATTGTATGATAACATTTGCTCACGTGAATTTTCGTCTGTTTCAAAAAAAAGTTTTCAACCATACTGTAAATCGTACAAAGCAGCTGAAAAATTAGCAAATATATGCATATATATAGTGAGTGTGAGTGAGTGATGCCATATATTTTTGAAAAATATCAGAAAATGATAATAATGTCATAGAATACCAAAATCAATTCCAAGGGAAAAGAAGAAAATGTGAAGAAATGAAAATGAAGAATTTATTATTCGCCATACCATACTCTGTGTGTTTAGTCATTTGTTCAACCTTCATGACCACGTAGATTTCATAATGAAGGGAACTTTTTTTGCCAAACTTTTTCATTAGCACGCTCACATCAGTTTTGGGGTTCCCAGAGGATGTCATCCATATAATCAAATCAACATGGCCTAACCTAAAGTGTACCTATAACAAGAAGAAAAAAATGGACATAAAGAAACCATACTTGCACACAACTGTCAAAAGCTAAGTTTGACTAATATATCATATTAAACAGGATATTTTGTGTATTTATCCATCAGTCTGGCCCCAGGTGTTCTTTACTTTGATATCTGGCCCTCTGCCTTCCGGCGCCGTTTGTTCAGAAGGGGGTTGCTGGAGGCAGAGATCTCCTTGATCTTGATCTGGTCATAGTCCACCCTCATGGTGGCCAGAGCATTGGTCATCTCATCCTGCAGGTACACACAGTAGGCGTGTCAGGTCCAGGTCATTGACCAGGTCAGTGTTTGGAACAGAAGAAGAAACAGAGCAAAAACAATATGTTTTCCTTTGGTAAAAATGTTTTCCTTTGGTAAACATAAAAATGGTTTATGATCATTTAAAAACAAAAACTACACATGGAAATTATCACAATTTGATCTTACCTGAACTTCTTGCCAGTAATCCTTCTCATCATCCAACACCTTGACTGTGGACAGGGGTGTCTGAGGAACACTCTCAACTCCCTGCAAAATCATTCACAATTTCAAAAGTCAAGTTTTCTACAGAAGTACACATTTATATTGGAACAACACAGCTTCCATCTTCAAGCTATTAATATTATACCTAATATTGTTAAACTTTCATATATATTCACAGTTTATATGTATTACCACCTGATATAATGATACTATATAATATAATGTATACTATATGATTTACCACTCTATGATACAATGTGATTTACAAAGTCTTTTCATGATTTACAATATGGTGTACTAACAAGGCCTAGGAAAATTAAATTAAAAGTGTTTCCATTTCGGTTCTGAAAAAATAGATAGGGATTTTTGGGGGGATTTCTTCTAAAATGTTTCAACAAATTAGTAGGTTTAAAAGGAAGTTTGAACTAATAAACTTCACAATGCATCAGGAGAATGTCTCACGTACCCGCCCACCTGTTGTGGACAAATATTTCACCCAATTTACTGAAGAAAAATTGCTTCAGCAAATGCGTTAAATGACGTTTAAGAAATTCAGAGGATTTGAAATTCCGATGTCAGATCGAAAATTGTATAGCAATACCACCAGTCGATAAAAAAAAGCCTTGGGTCGGCAGTTTTTGCTAGGGTTGGTCAGGAAACTGGAAACACAACATTTTTTCCGAAACTTGAAAAGAACTAAGAAGGTCTGTACTTACAGATACCCATGGATGTGCCATGAACTCTGTGATGGTTAGTCTCTCCTGCGGGTCAGTCTTCAGCAGCTGGTTGATCAGGTTCTTGGCTGTGGGGAAACAAAAATGCACTTCACGTGAAAACCAGTAGGTGGCAGGCATAACAAAGTTTCCTCAAGTGTTTGCTCCATAGCAAAAACTTCGCCACATGATCAAAAAAGTTCAATCAAACCTCTTTGACACATGCACCATTGTATATATTCCTACCAGCTTCAATCTTTAATGTAAAGTAGTAATCAAAACACCAGCCAAAACATCTAGGAAAAAAAATATGTCTCAGTGATTTGGAAGATGTACAAAGGGGCACAAGTAGGCAAAAATGTATAATGTAGGCATTGATAAAGAGGACTGATGACACAGTAGCGAGTTTTAGACATTGCTCCCCCATATGAAATGGTACATTCCGCCTCTTGTGACCACCTTTCTTTGCGATTTGCAGAACAGCATGTATGAATGTATCGTGCACTTCATATTTAAGCTGCTAGGAGGCAGAGTTGGTGTGATGTGTAACCTAACAAAATTGGGATCATTGAAGCAAGATTAGGATGCCAAGCTCTTGATGCGGGTTTCATAACACGTGTGATTCCTCTACTCAACTTCCATTTACTCCTCCAATTAAGGATTAAGGTTAGTGCAACCTTGCCAGATACAGTTAGCTGTAGCATACGGAATACTGTAATTCACTATTTTTTTGCAGTACTTTTATGTTCGCGTTTTTTGCGGTCACTTCTGTACCGCTAACTTATCATAACCAACAAATAATTTGCCGACTTTCTTTTTTCTTCACATGACAAACATTTAGTTCCACGAACACCTACATTTTTCTCAGACCGTGAAATTTTGCTACAGCGAACATAAAGTGATTTACAGTACTGAGTGGTTGAGCATGTTTGAAAAATGTCCCCGGAGACCACTGAACCAAATCAGTTCATAACTCAGCATTCGAGATAACAAAGTAACTGAAGGGATGACATGGTATAAATGTTTTATAACTCTGTGGTTAGATACAGTATTACGGGTCTGGTCACTTGAGGTTTGTCCTCTAGGCATACATGTAGCAAGGCCATGTTGATTTGATAATATGGATGACATCCAAATGTTTTCTACCACACTGTATATTGTGCAAGGCAGCTGCAAAATGAGCAAATATACGCCGTAAATTGCACAAAAAAATATTGGAAAACAATAATAAAGTCGTAGAATGCCAAAATCAGTTCCAAAGGAAAAGAAGAAAATGTGAAGAAATGAAAATGAAGAGTCTATTATTTGCCATACCATATTCTGTGAGTTAGCCATTTGTTTAGACTTCTCTAAACTTTTAATGTATTACCAAAAGTATTTACTCGAACGCTCGCATCAGGTTTGGGGTTCCCTGAGGATGTCATCCATACAATCAAATTAACATGGCCTAAGGCCACACCAATTTAATTTCTTGGTTAATGGATTCGCCCACTTCATTTTTTTCTGATTGGCCAAAAAAAAAAATTCAGAATCAACTGCAAAATGCTCATATTTTGCCTTCAACAGTTGAAAACAGTCCTTTTCTTCCTAGTTGTTACAGTTATTCCATCTTTCAATGCAATGGTATCATTAAAAGTTCAAAATTCATTGTTTAGATTTTGAACCAGCCCGTTGTGTTGACTTCATGGCTCCTATCGTACCATTTTGGGCTATAATTATAGGATGCCTAGGTCTGTTTGTTTGTTTTTTCACCCGCCCACTCCATTATTTTTGTAGAAAAAAATAAATTGGTGTGGCCTAAGGTAACACGTCTGGGGTACAGTAGTTATGCAGATTTGTACGACTAGCCTTTTAGATATTATTCAACATTCTGTCTTACTGATGGCTTGTCTAATCTCTATTGACACTGCGATTAAGTCCCACCATTTGGAAGAGCTTATTTCATCTGATAAAATGAGCTCTTCCCATGCAAATACTGCACTTATCTACAGACGGGACAAAATTGCTGGTATGTCATCACATGGATGGTATCTTTTATCAGTAAAACATCAATCCAAACGGCTTGACACAGACTTGGAAGTAGACAAGTGGGGAAGATAAGAAGTGCAGGAAATTGGATGTACAGAGAGCCTCCGATAAGATTGTGTGTACAGAAATGCTTGGGGGAAAGAGTTGGCACAGGCAGTACACTTAGTGGAACAGTGTACTTTATATGGTAATGGCTGCTAGTGCCGTCCTTGGCAGTAAGAACATATTTTGTGAGCGCAACTGAGAACTCAGCCAAATGTCAATACAAAGATTGTACAGTGTCAGTATCCACTCTTTTGTACATGCATGTATGGGAACACACATGCCCTTTTCCATAGAACATAATTCTAAGTAGGGCGTAGACAGACCGCTCTAATTCAACGTAGAGCGCAATACGGAATCGCTGATTTCTTGAATAGTAAGAGGAATCCCCCAAAGAAAAATCCTGGCTACAGGCATGAGCTAAGAATATAGATAAGATATCACAACAACAATTCTTAGACTCTTAAAGTAAATTACTGTAAATCACTCTATATTCACGGTCACTTTTGTACCACAAATTTATCATTACCAAGAACAAAAAATTTGCTTTCTTTCTTTCTTCTGCACCTGCCGCCACCGTGAACATAGAGTTCCACCAACATGGCCATATTTCTTAGACTGCGAAATTTTGCTACTACCAATATAAAGTGATTTACAGTATCCATGGCAAAGAGAATGGAAGGTTTTTCTACGCACCAAGCTCAGATACAGCACTCCACTCTGGGTTGGGGAACTCGTACTGTCCGTTTCTTATCCTCCTCTTCATGCCAGGGGAGATGGCAAGACCGTGGTTACTGTAGAATGGCGGGAAGCCACACAGCCTAGAGAAACACAGAACATCAACCATTGTCAACTTTACATCCTTACAATGTATTCTACAATTCTGCACAAACCCAGGGCTCCAAATACTTTTTATGTTTACCGAAGGAAAACATATTGTTTTTGCTACGTTTCCTCTCCTTCTTCCCTTCCAAACGCTGACCTCGCCAAAGACTGATTTGTTGACGTCTCTCACCATGGTAACTGGTGTTAGGTTACAAAATGTTGCAATTTTCTAGTAGGAGGGATTTATACTCCTGTCTGACCATATATATGAATGTATTTGAGTAAGAATTAAGGACAGAGCAGACCATATGCGAAGGTAAACATTATGCATTTGCTTTGCAAATGTTACCTTTCTAGTTTCTGTATAAGTCTTACCTGTTTCATTTAGAATTTAGGAAGTATGGATCACACTAAAAACTGTTCAGATCTACATATAACCATTGTCATTATTTCTATTGTCATACCTATAGATAAAAACCTAGTACATGGACCGGTGCAGTTAGTTGCAGGTAGAAATATCTGCACAGCCCCAATTTTACCTGCACATGCATATGCACCTAGTATTTTGAGCCCTACAAATCTGTACATGTGTCAGCTCAAATCATCAATCAGTTGTAATTTTTGTCATCTTTAAGTTTGATGTAAAATCTTTTTAATATGACACGTGGTAATGACACAGTAACATCTGCTCTGACTGAAAAGTGCTGATTTGCAAGAACTGTTTTCTTCCTTTAAAAAAAAATGTTTGCTCCTGTAATACAAAATTGCTGAGTGCCTTAATTTTTTTCCAAAATAATTAGGCTGAACTGACGTCAGAGAGTTAATGTGATATAACAGACTACGTCAAACTGCAACGAACGCTCTCTTAGTGAGGCTTGTGGACAATTTACTAAGTACCCATACTAATGGGGACATTAGTGGTGAGGCAAACCTTGACAGAATATGGATGGAAAGTTAACTTTGAACAGCCACAACGTCTTTTTTTCCTACATTTTTCTTACAAGTCTAGAATGATATTGGTCCAGAATTTCCTTATCGGTATATGTACATGTATTGTGGACTAAAAACAGCACAATTTAGTGTATTGTACAGTTGATAAGAGTGTTTTATTCAAGCATAAAATTTCATTTCACACCTTTTTACTGGCTCATGATACATGACCAATTTTCCACCATGTCAAATTGTGTATAATTTTTTTTATGTGTAATTGTACTGGGCTCAAAATACTGGCTGCATGTGCACCTTAGTGCACCCAAAATTGGAGCTGTGCACCCAATTTTTTTCTGTGGGTGCACTGGTACAACCAAATATTTTTGTACATATCAAATGTATAATATTACAGGATATTCTTGGCATTTAGTGTCAGAAAAATAATAAAAAAATCTTTGTTGTAGTACTTGTTTAAGATTTTGAAGTTACCTCCCATGTCAGATTCAAGCTTAGAAGAGGAGCAGTAAGATGTGTAATTCGTTCTTGTTTTATCTGGTGCACCAAAATTTTTGTGCACCTAATTTTTCAAGTTAAGTGCACCAGAGCACCTATTCCCAAAACTGAATTTTGACCCCTGTTGCAAGTCCAGTTTTTTTCCATGCTTGATGCTATTGAAAACATCACCTCAAGCTCAAATGTCTATATTAGCATTGGTCCTCACGACTTACAATACCACCTCACAACAAAATATGCAAATAAGCACCAAGAGGAAGTATAACACCTGTTTAACATTCTTGTGGGCTGATGTCATACCTAGGATAGAATAACTACAGAGAAAATTTGCAGACTTACAGTATGTACATGATAACTCCCAGGGACCACATGTCACACGACTTGTCATACTTTTCTGGACCTAGAACTTCAGGGGCTGGAAAAAAAAGACAAACAAAGTCGGTTACTCAGAATAAAATGCTACAAATTTCATCACAATTGTATACAAATAACCATAAGTTGTGATAGATTATGATATATCACTAATTCTAAGTTTTCAATGTGTTCTAGTGTTTTAATTCTTGAAGTCACAATGGATATTACCTAAAAATAGTATGTACATTTGTATATAGTACAATATCAGGTATGAATTGTTAGTTACTTCCAAAACAGATTATATCTATCATAACAAGGCTAACATTCTTTTGGTGACAAAGTATTAAGCATAAATTTGAGATCTTTACTTGTTTTCTTTTATTTCATACATGATGTTTCAAAGGAAGAAATGATGATATAGATTCTTAATTGATTTGACTGAAGTACAGGGACTTTTGTAACAACTCAAGGTACAACTAAAATCGAACAATTGAAAGCTAAATACATGTATAGATAAAGTCATGCAGAATACAGTCTTACAGAACATATGTATGCAGCAAACTACTTACAGAATATATGTCAATGGCAATGTTAGATGTTTAACTAGTCTTTAACATGGAGATATGAAAATCTGCCATACTCACCTACATAGTACGGTGTGTAACATGGGGTGGCTAGTGAGTTGGTTTCTCTGGTTTCCTTGGCGAAACCAAAGTCTGTGAGTTTCAGGACTGCATTTGGCTCTTTCATTGTGTATAGGAGATTCTCTGGCTGTTAAAGAAAGATCACAATAATCAAAATCATGAGACATAAAGGTTTTTGGCACAAAATTTTACATATACTTTATTGACATCATATTTGCTGTATCATCTAGCATCCTCTGTGCTTTTAAAGCTGCATCATCTAACAATAGGAGAATACAAAAAGTAAGTTTTCTGGTCAATTCTTTACAAAGTAAGTTGAATAAACCCTACTCCATTGCAAATTAGAGCCATTCAGGAAATGGAGGTGCCAAAATATGATGCCTTACGAGTGTGTTTAAAAGCTGGAAACACAACTGTCAGCCATGTTTGTTTACATTCTGGTAGTTTGAGGTGGCACCACAAACTGAGTGCGCCTCATGTGGGCTGTTTTAGTGCCAACAAGAAAGGTCAGATATGTGAGATAATTGCACAAATATGTGGAAAAGTGGAAGCAAATTTCTTGCAATAAAATTCTTTAAATTTTCGGTGCAAAAATGTTACATAATGCCCCTTTAAAATACATAAATGGATCAATTACGTCCATATGATTCAATGTTTCACTATTGTTTACATGTCTCTTAAAGTGGCAGGAAATCTGGAGTTGAACAAACACAGCTGTATGTACTTACTGAATAAAAATATCTTATGATGTAGATGCCAGTCACGACTTGTTTTGAAACAAAGACCAGCATATGTTATCAGATACAGTTCCGCGAACATGTCTATTTTTCGCAGACCGCAAATTTTGCTACCGCTTAGGCCATGCCAATTTAAATTGTTGTTTCTCAGACTCGCCCTGTCCATTTTTTTCTGATTTGCAAAAAAAAAAAATCTTTAAGGTTTGGTTTTAAATCAACTGCAAAATGCACAATAAAAGACATATTTTGGCTTGAACGGTTGAAGAAAGTACTCTTCTTCGTAGTTGTTAAAGTGTTTCAATGTAACAGTGCAATTTTGTTTCATTTAAAGTTCAAAATATACTGTTTTAATTATAAACCAGCCTGGAGTGGTATGTTGACTTCATAGCTCATATTGTACCATTTCCGGCTATCACGGGGTGCCTTGGCCTGTTTTTTTTTTTTATTTAGCCCTGTCGCTTCATATTTTTTCTGAAGAAATCCGAGCAACAACAAATTAAATTGGTGTGGCCTAATATGCAGTGATTTACAGTATGTTCCTGACCTTGATGTCCCTGTGTGCGATGTTCATGGCGTGCAGATGTTGGATCGCTTTCCCGATATCCCTCATCACACCTGCCGCCTCTGCCAACACATATAAACATACAGTCAGCTCCAGAGTAGTCCTGACATTTCTGGTAAATACTGCAACAATCCTGGCTAAACCGGCTAAAAGTGGTATTTTCTCAACTGGGGGAACACCTAAGTCAACATTATCGCATGTGGGCATGTTCGCATGTCTGGCGCACATGTGATATCTGGTACGCTGAAGTACAATGTAGAATAAGACCCAAACATTCACACATATATTTTATTACACATTTTGTTTGAAAACATTTTCCTTTCAATAGTCCCACTTGTATCAAATATCATTAAGTACATGTAGTATGTACCAGTGTTCTAGCCAGCATCCGTCTTTCCCTCATTTGACGGAATTTTACCGATCATGACGGATAAAAATTGGGGTGTAAAGATATGAAAAGAGATGTCTGCTGGCAAAAGTTGTCCCCAAAAATGCAGGAAATAGTGTTTCAGAGGGTGTAGCAGTGTTCTAGCCAGCATCCGTCTTTCCCTCATTTGACAGAATTTTGCCGATCACGACGGACAAAAAATTTGCACAATCCGTCATCTTTGACAGATAAAAATTGGGGTGTAAAGATATGAAAAAGATATGTCTGCTGGCAAAATTTGTCCCCCAAATTGCAGGGAATAGTGTTTCAGAGGGTCAAGAACTTAAAATCTTCCCCAAGAATTGTCATTTATCGCACGTCTCAAACTAAATTGAGATGAGAGAGAAAAAAATTTCAGACAGGCTAGAACATGTGTAAAGTCTCCTAAAGGTCAGATATTCAAGCCTGACATATGTAGAAAAGTCAGTAGATGATGGTTGATATTTCGTTACTCCCTGGGATATGAACTAGAAGGTGAGAGATGTACAGTATAATCTGAAGTACATTTCAGGATTTCAGAACCATTTTCTCACACCTGAGCCAAGTCAGATGTGCCAGACACAAAGTGTATTTTGTGACAGACACATTAAAACCACATTTCTGTAAAAATATACAGGAAAAGCTAAGGCGACATCTAACGGTAGAAAAGAGTCAACTTCAAAGTGATATGGATCCAAACTTCAGGCCAAAGCCTAAGTAGTCATAGTTAATGCAGAACAAAGCTTTAATGCAATACAATGTAAAATTACTCTAGTGATGGGATAGAACACCCTTACAGGTATTTTATGACATCTTGGCAATGAAAGAAGTGCATTAGCAAGCAATAAGTATGCAAAAATTGGGACTGAAAAGGTGACCAGGGGTTTACAGTAAATGTACCTCCAGTAAAGGCATAAACATTTCGGTGGAATAGAAACAGTCTCTAGAACTGAGTTACTCAAAAGGTTGCAAGCACATGGTGGTCTAAAAATACAGGAGTCCTTTGCACAGGGAATGTTACGCCCAGTAAGGACTAAGTATCCATTACAAAAGGTCAGCAACCAACAATTTAACAGAAGGGAAACAAAGTACAACCAAATTTTTTTGCACAAAGTACTACCAAAGTATTTTCACAAAGTACTACCAAAGTATTTTCACAAAGTACTACCAAAGTATTTTCACAAAGTACTACCAAAGTATTTTCACAAAGTACTACCAAAGTATTTTCACAAAGTACTACCAAAGTATTTTCACAAAGTACTACCAAAGTATTTTCACAAAGTGACAAAAATCTGCAGTATAACTGTCGAATATGACAGATACACATGAGTGATTTACATATCATATCACTATATGCATACAAAGATTTTAACTTGAAATCAGGCATTATTTAAAGCATTACGGTAAGATTGCTCACCTCTCTCTGTGAAGGCTGTGTCTGCTCTCTCTTGGATCCGTGTGAACAATTCTCCACCTTCCATACTGCGGGGAGGACAGACATTTATTTCAAACTTTTCTCTGGAAAAACTTCAGGCAGTTAAAATAATCTTTGTAACTTGATTGTTGAATACTGTAAAGACTAATATAATATACACTGTATTTTGTGGCAGTGGAAACCTAGCAGGAGCCAAGAACTGTTACAATGAAAACTAAAACATTTCTACAGAAACTTATTTAAAACTTCCAAAAGGAAAGCTGCAGCTGGCAACAAACATTTGGGCAGCCATGGCATTGAGATAAGAAAGCAAAGTTTTTCATGCAAAAACGTGAGAAAGAGCATGAAACATTTAGACTGGATGACAAAGTTCTGAAAACCTACTTGGTATCCTGAGGCCTACTCCATATGGCACAGCACATCGTGGCATCTTGCATCAGAGTTCAAGGTTTTTGTAGGAAGATTTGAAGCACCCAATTGCAAACAATGGTTCATGCACCAGATTGATTCTGATACATTAGTCAGTTCAATAACATTGTAATACCAGCTCTATGGTGCTACATGTGCACAGTTCAAAACCAAAGTTCCAAGCTTCCAGACTCTGACACAAAGTGTTCCGATGTGCTGTGCCATTTGGAATGTGCCTCTCCCCGTCCCTTCTGAGAGAAGTAACAAGGTTTGCCAGAAACGTGAGCAGCCCGAATATGATTGGACACTATAGAGTCAGCTTAATAATCCACCAATAGGTGTGAAGAATACTGTAAATCACAATTTTGTCCGCAGTACTTTTATACTTGCGGTTTTCACAGTTACTTTTGTATTGCGAACTTATCATTATTGTGAACAAATAATTTTTGCTCCACCTGCCACCACCTCAATGGTAATCCGCAAACATTTTTTTTCAGACTGCAAAATTTTACTACCTCGAACATAGAGTGATTTACAGTACCATCCACATTTTGGCATTCAGATGTAGCAAGGACATCTGTGAATAGCCAATGTGAATTTGAGAGGATGTCGTTGAGAGTTATCACACTTCTAGCTTGTTACAGCTGTATATTAATATTGACTGAAAAAAATATTTCGTGATTTATGATTCCAGACAACAGATAGGTTTGACATATTTCAATTTTCCATTTTAGTGTCCCATATATAGGCTTCAAACCACAGTGGATGCCAATTCAAATCCAGATATAGTACCAGATGGCTGCAATGTTAATATATGTTCTAGAGGCTTGTTAAATGATATGCCATAGAACAGTGCTGACAGCGAAGTGGATTTCAGTGCCAAGAGGAACAACTAGGACAGGTTAAAGGTCAAAACAAAGCAGCTGCCAAATGAGCAAAGACATGCCGTAAATTGCAAAAACAATGTTGGAAATTTGGCGAAATTAAGGCCACACCAATTTAATTTCTTGGTTAACGGATTCACCGGCTTAATTTTTTCTGATTTGCAAAAAAAAATTGCAACATGCTCATATTTTGCCCTGAACAATTGAAAACAGTCCTTTTCTTCCTAGTTGTTACAGTTATTCCATCTTTCAATACAGTGGTATCATTAAAAGTTCAAAATTCAATGTTTGAATTTTGAACCAGCCTGGTGTGTTGACTTTATGGCTCCTATATCGTACCATTTTGGGCCATAATAGGATGCCTAGGCCTGTTTTTATTTTTTATTTTTTCGCCCGCCCGCTCCATTATTTTTCTAGAAAAATCCGTTAAGCAAGAAATTGAATTGGTGTGGCCTAAAGGTAATCTTACGTAGAATGCACTAACACGAGATATAAGAGTCTGAGTTAAGACATGGGTACTTACCACTCCATGAGCACCATGAGACAGTTGTGTCCATGGTACCTGTTCTCATACACATCCACTATCCTGACGATGTGGGGACAGTTGGAAGCTCGGAACTGTAACTCTACCTCCCTCCTCGCCTTAGGGCTGTCTCTTAGAACCTACAAAACAGAAAATACAAGTATTAATTTTAAGATTCTGATAAAAAAGATACTGTAAATCACTTTGTATCCACGGTACTTTTATATTTACGTTTTCATGGTCACTTCTGTTCTAGATCTGTACAGCAAATTTATCATTTAACTGCAAACAAATAATTCACTGATTTTCTTTCACCGTGAATATATAGTTCCACAAACATTTTTCTCAGACCACAAAATTTTGCTACTGCGAATATAAAGTGATTTACAGTAAATATGTCACAAAAAGTTGAACCACACAACACATATTAAAGGCTAAAAAGACCATACTGATACGATATGACACATGTAGTATTTAAGGTAAGAAGTTTAAATATTCATAGCATTTCATCCATGACCACATGGAACATATGTTTTGATATTTCTAAAATGCCAAGCGTCATTTACAAAAGCAAGCAACTGTGAATTCTTATTATAAATTCAGAAAGCTGCCGACAAAGCCAAATCTACCCGGCGATCTAAATGGCTTTTTATTTCCTGAGAAGTCTGGGTAACCAGAAAGAGTCAGAGGGCAGGGTGGAAATTTGATCGCGGTCTGCCTAAACTGGTTGTTATCGATTTGGGGTCCTGAGGAAGGCCTTATGAATCAAACCAGAATACCACACAATCAATACCCAACCATTTCCTTAACTGTGGACAGGGTGGTATGGGAGAAATTTGTGATGAATATAGTATATACATGTACATAATTGCCTCAATGGAGACAGCACATTTCTAGCAGGGCTCGAAATTCATTTTTGGGAATAGGTGCACTGGTGCACCCAACCTAAAAAATTGGGTGCACCAAAATATTTTTGGGTGCACCATATAAAACAAATCATCTGAAATAGGAGCTAATTTTAAAATCTTAAACAAGTACCAAAACAAAGATTTTATTGTTTATCTGACACTTAGATGCCAAGAATTGAATATTCTATATACTATTGTACATTTGATATGTACAAAAATACCTACAAAAATATTGGGTGCACCAGTGCACCCACATGCAGAAAAAAATTGGGGGGTGCACTAAGGTGCACATGCACCCAGTATTTCAAGCCCTGCCTAGTAATACAGGTAAGAGTAGCAAATTATAAATGCAGATTTCTCTATCTGTACATGGTTAAGTAATCATTCAGCATGCATGTACATGTAAGTTGTCATCATAAAAATTCAAATTTATGCTATTGCCAGGTACAATAAGATGTTGAAATTAAATTCATGGCTTGGCCATTTAATGCTACTCTCATCTGCCGAATAAACATACCCCCCGGAATAAACGTACCCCCCCCCCCCGGACAAATCTT